AGGCGTTTTTGCATTTGGTCAATCAAATTCTCGTTCTCATAGCTCCTCTCCTCTGAGCGAATACCAAAATGGCCGACCTTCTCCAGAAGCATGCCTGTGACTTTGTTCAACAGCTCATTATGGAGGTCGATGAGGGTAGGCTGGCTTGGAGGATTCCTGAGCAGAGATGATAAATTTAACATGAAACAAGAAGCCATAGGTGACAATCCTCCGTGAAGTTTTATATATTTCAACAAAATCCCAAGCGTCAACGCCAGACCTACTGTGCAGACATTATAATTAGGCAACGGTTAATACAATGAGGGCGCGTCACAAGCATAAAACATACAAAGAGCTAAATCCATTACTGCTCCCAGGGCGTGTAAAGATACGGTGCTTCAAGTTCGAAGTTCATTTTAATTACACACACACAATCATTGCATTCACATAAAGATCGGACTATCATGGTCGTGTCACTAAGAAAACCCCACCGTCTTACCGTGCCTGTACCTAATTAAGCGCGCCTGGAACAGTTGCGGTAAGCACCGCGAGTGTTACTACCGCCGGCCAGATAACCAGGATATCTGTTTGGAGTACCTCTGCTACCAGACAACTGCCTAAACCTACGGCCTATTCCACAGGATTGTAAAAGTAGGGATGTTTCTAAAATATGCATTTACTTCAATATCAAAACAGCTACGGTAAAATAAAAGACGTGCATCATCCCGGACATAATGCCACACCACATGCGAAATTACACAGAAATGCGACGTACGGAAGAATGCGTTTTGGCTGCGAACATCTTCCAAAAAACTTTGGCATCTCTTAAGCATGGGCAAAAACATCTGGAACCACTTATAAAAACCACCCCGTATCTGCATGAAGTTCCACCCCCCCCACTGCTATTCCAAACAACGCGTTTTTCTGGACCATTCCAACTCGCCTCGTAATTGTAGGGGTACGTCTGCAATATTACATTGACCGCGAAAGCAGCAACGGCAAAAATACACATTCGTGCATCAACACGGGCATGCCCGCAGACGGCGTATAAAATTGCGTGCCGATTACACAAAGAGAACCCAGTGTTTTGACTGCGAACATGAAAAATCAGCCGATCACAACACTCCGTCCGGAGGTCCTGACCTCCTTCACGGAGTAATAATAGGACTGGTGTAGCCTATCCATGTCATCAATACCATACAGTCATGAACTCTGTGCCATTGTCTGATTTATGTAGATTCAGACACTCGGTGAAAACCTGCAGGAAATCATGTCTGTGTGGAGAATTTCACCTATGTTCTGAACACTTATCATTGCGTAAACGTCACCTTGTATTGTATTCCGCACCTTTCCCTCCACGTCCACTGGTCACCGGTTTGAGGGGTATTCCATTTTCTGGACATTCTTCCAATGGATCCCGCCAATTGTTCGTGGCTGTAGCAACCTTGGCCTACAGAATATATAAAGACCAACTCAATAACTAACACATACCGTTGAATACTAGAGCATGACAATCAGGCTATACTGATGCTAAAGCCTGATAATGTAATTAGTGATATTTTAGTTCCCAACTAAATATACCGCAGTTATGTTGAATAGCGCTCACTTGCATCTGTTGGTTGTACTCATCGATCACCTCCTCGACAGCTCTGCCTCGCAGGAGTTGTACGGTGTTCTGCCAGGTGTTGTCCAGGGCAGGGATGGAGTTTGGATCATTGACGGCTTCCACATACCGTTCAACCATGATGCTGAGGGCCAATCCTAAACGGAAATTAAAGGCATAGATAGCGAAGCCAATTCGTTTCCCAGAATAAATCTGTATTCAGCGGCAACAAAACGAGGTTTTCTTTTACCATGACCATCAAGAAATAATTGTTGGGTGGGTGACATTGACTTATCCTTACCACTAACAGTTGATGCCTTGTTGTACCCCCTCTTTGCGCGCGCATTGTGCAACAGCTGCTCGATGAGGGTGTGAACACCCTTGTTGAAGTTTGGATTCAGGCTGTTTGTGTGCTGAGCAATGTTTTTCATCACCTCATTGTCCCCAGAGGGCCTTTCCAAGGTGGTACACTCCACCGACGGGAAGAATGTTAGGATGGCCCGCCCTACTTTTTCACTCTGTGATTCCTCAAAATCATCAGGATCACGTGCAAGGACCTAACATTAACGACAGTGTAAGACATTCTTATAACGAAGAAGAATATCTCAAGTTAGCAAATGTTCGCCACAGATCCACCATTAACCAAAACTAAGAATTCAGTTGTCA